CCCCCCCCCCAAAATGCTATTTTAAAGGTAGCATTATTTCTTAACTTCAGTTACCATTTGGGTAATTAACTTCAGTTAGTATTTAAGGTATAAAATATGTGTTTTATTTTAGTTAGTTTGGTTTTCCACATATCATCTAATTTTCGTCCTATGAATGTGTGATTTTTTTGGTATGGTTTTGGCATGGTACAATGTTATACCGCCCCTATTTAAATGAAATGGTACCAATAATTCAATAAATGATTTGAGGGGACATAGAAAGCCGAAAAATTTGTACATTTTTAATCAATTTCGGCTGCATTAATCTTACCCGGAGCATTATTTTAAAAATATATACTTCCTTTTATACAACTTCCTTTTAATCATTTTCGGTTGCCGTCATTAAAAGAGTTCCTGAATAGCAGATCACCACACAGCCTATTAACTGAATGCTTTCCTCTGTCCTCAATAATGATATTCCATATTCCATCTTTATTTCCAAACAAAGAACTCTTTTCCTTACTAACTCGAATGTTTGGGAGTGTTTGTTTTGTTCATAACACTATGCCCGGACAATCAAAACAATGTTTGCCCAGTCAATTAAGTGCATTTTTCTTGGATATTCTAGACTCCAAAAGGGATATCGGTGTTACTCACCAATGTTACAAAAACATTTTGTTTCTGCAAGCGTCACATTCATCAAATCTTCTTTCTACTATCCAAATTCTCAAGAAGAGATATCTCATTTATCCGAGTTGTTCCAAATCTGTGGACCGATCTCACTAGTATCAAATAATTAACTCTAACACTATAGACTCACCACTTGAATCTGTCACACCACCACCTAATATTGTTCCACAACAACCTCATTATAGGCTTATCATCGTCGACCTTGTCCTCCTCAAGAGGTTCAGGATGTTAAGTCTACATACAATTCACCTTCTTCTAATTTGAATCTAGACTATGAGGATCTGCTAATTGCTCATTGGAAAGGTACACGTCCCACTCTTAACCTATGTCCCATTTATAATTTTCATAACTATCATCGTGTCAACACTTCATATTCTTCACTTTTTTCTCATTTATCTGATGTTCCAATTCCGAAAACAACTCAAGGGGCTCTTTTACATCCGAGATGGAGACAAGCAACGGTGACAGAAAAAGAGGCTCTTCAGTCTTGTAGGGCATGAGACTAGCAACGGTGACAGAAATGGAGGCTCTTCAGTCTAGTAGGGCATGAGACAAGCAACGATGACAGAAAGAAGATTAAGTAATAAAGAGAACTCAGAGTTTGGATTGATTTGTAAATGAATCAAACGAGACAAAGCTATCTATGAGAAATAGGATAAATCTAAGTTATGCTAGTTAAGTTCGTTGATGAGGAAAATAGGATGATCACCCAAAACATCAACTATAAACTATGTCAAATATATTATACTATAATCATTGTGTTAAGGAACCAACTAAACCAAAAGCTCAAGCTCGTGGTTGTGGCCCAGGAATGATTTTTTTAATTCTAACATGGCCCCACAGGTGTAGGCGTAATCTCTTCTGAACCTTGCACGCGAAACCTTAAAATTTTTAAAACTAGGTGATGTTGAGTTTCAAAACCTGTGACATCTAAGTAAAAAAGCCTCTGATATCATGTCAAGGCAAAAGTTCAAGCTTGTGGTTGTGGTCCAGGAATAATACTTTAACACATTGCAAAAGGCTAGGGCGTGAATATGAAAACTGTAATAGAAGGATGAATCCGAAAAGAACTACGAACCAGTCAGAAAGAAATGGAAACCTAAACTTAAAATGGAAAGGCAAATGAAAACATAAAAAGAACAGGAAGAGAATCCTCCTTGAAGGTGAATTCAAGAAGGTGAGCAAGAGGAAAGTAGTTGAAAGAATAAGGCGTGCGATAGAGATGCTGGAATGTTAGGGGCGTCAACAACCCCCATAAACAAAAAGAAATTAGTCATTTTGTGAGGAAGTATGATTTGGGTATCTTTGGTAATGTTAGAGACTAAACTCAGAAAATTAAAGAGATTAGTGATAAGATACTCAGAGGCTGGGGATACTATATTAACCATTCTACCCAATACCTTGGCAGAATTTGGAGTATCTAGACACCTAATAGGGTTATGTTACATATAATAGATGTTTTTTATTATGGACATCTTCTCGAGCGCTCAGCTGCAATTCATAAACAATATTAGTCATTAAAAAAACATCCAAAATATTGCTTCAATGTTGGAGACACTAGACATCAAATTGCTAATTGCACATATATGATTTTTTGGTCAGGAAAACAATATAAATGATGCACAAAGTGAGTAGAAGATAAAAAAAAGAATCACTCACCGCAATAAAAAGACTCCACAAAAGAGGGCATGATTTCAGAATTTGAACTATCTTAGACATGACATCTCCCACTTTGTGATCCAATGCGAGCGTTAGTGTCCTTGGTCTTGAGAATGTAGCTATGCTTTTCGACATATGTTCAAGCTGCAAAAGAAGAAGAAAAAAACATACGGTTCATAGTGCATAAGGAAAAACAAAAAAGCCATTTGATAGCCAACTTAAACTATATGCGCATACCCAGTTGGAACTAGAGTACACGTTCAAAGTTCTTAAATGAGGAAGAATTTCTGGCAGCTTTAAAAAAGTGTGGCACATGCCACCGTCATGCACCGCGTAAGAGAGGGCATTCAAGTTAGGAACCCCGGTTAGACCCAATGAAACAGTGCTCTTGCACAAAACACTCAAACTCTTGAGCTTAAGATTATCTATGTCAATCTTTTCCAACCCGACGCAAAGCCAAACAAAGACATCCTCTAGACTAATGAGTGGTGACCCAAGGCTTAAGTAGGGAGGCAATTCACATCGCTTCATCTCCAACTGCTTAAGGTTTACTAAGCCCGATAGCACACTCCCCATATCATGAGACTCCAAATATAGGTGATGAAACCTGAGGGGCTCTAGCTGGCTGAATGGACATAGAGTAAAAGTTTCTGGTGCAGCACAGTTAGATAACTGAAGATACTTAAGAACCGGTTGTCCGCTTCTGAAAAGCTCAACAGGGATTCTCCAAGGAGTAGCAGACAATGGCATTTGAGGTGTGAAATGTTCACAATGAAACCTCATGTCGAGCACTTCCACACTTAAATTAAGAGCAAATCGAATCCAGTCTAAGACATCACATGTGGAATCATTATTCAAGCAGAAACGGAGTCAAAAAATGATTATTTTTGTGCCTCTATAAGAAGCAACGAATTCAGATACCGCTCGTAGAAAAAGAGGTTTGTATTCTGAACAAACGCATTTCCTTCTTTCACTACTTTCAAATTCGAACATGTTACACATATCAAAAATAAGGCAAGCCCGGGTCAAAACAACATGCCTCCATCTAGATGATACCAAACCTGCTCTAACTGCATCCCTAAGTGTTAATTTATAAAGAATATACTCAAGCATTTCATCAGGAAGTTGACTGATGTGGCCCCCTACAAAGGATTCAAATCACCGCCACCCTTTTTTGTCACTTCCCAGGTGGCTGTGCGATGGTGGATCAGGAGCTCATGGCACATGGTTGGATGCCCAGGGTAGGAATAGGATTGAAGTAGAAGGGTACTTTTATGCAAGTCAAAGTTGTTTGAACACCCGTAAATAATAGTGTTGGGTCAACTTGGGGAGTTAATTCCCAGACCGAGGGAGTAGTTAACAAAAACATTGTTTTTCCTTTTGACAAAATTAATAGTGCTTTAAATCCCACCCCACTTGAATAACAAAATCCAATACTATACCAAGGTCAGAAGTTATGCTTGAAAGTTAAACCACAATGCAAAGAAATCAACCTATTGTAGAATGTAAAAATCAACTGAAGTCGTGACGACGGCCTTCAAATTTTGATATACTATCATAAAATCACATGTGATGAGTAATTGTATGAATATTTCCTCAAATAATTAGTCCATTGGTCTAAAAGAACTTGACATTGAGTTGTTTTTTTTCAATTCAATATTGGTTTTAAAAAAATTATAATCCTTTCATCCAAAAATATAATTTCACTTCACACGGTCAAACTATATTCAATTTATTTCCTTGTTTTCATTACTCATGTGATAAGATAGTATAGTCATGTCAATGAAAGAAGATATGATATCATGTGATTATGTGAATAGTAACACAAAGATCTTTGCCCCGTATTTGGGCAGGAGTATCAATATTCCACTAATTTCTAGAAAATAACCACAAATATATATACCAAATACAAAGTCCTCTTTTTTAAGTCCATTATGCATGCCAAAACTCAATTTAAAAAAAATGCAGAACACCAGCCAATATTGTGCTCCTAATAGAAGAAGTAGATGATGATACCTGAACTACTCGTCCTCCTTTTTCAATACACTCAATGTCCTTCGCTATTTTTAAGGGCAATTGCATCATCCCTGTGACCAAATAATTTGAAATTAGTTTACTCTTTACAAATTTCAACTGACATTAACACAAGAACAAGAATACACCTTCACAAAAAAGAAACAAGAACACAAGTCGCCTACAATGTGGGAGTAATGATTCATTAAGCATTAGTTAGGTTTGCCATGATTATCCCTTAAGATCCCGATTGGTTTTCTATTCCGGTACTTGATCCATTCATTTTCCATTTGATCACTTCTGTCCTTGACTAGGTTCTTGAGTTAAACAACCTTGCTTAAATTTCTTGATTCCTTCTAGTGACAGGAAGTGGATATGATTTCTTCTTGGTTCACTCTCTGGGTTCCTATTAAAGTATTCTCACAGATGTGGTCTACCTATTGTTTTTAGAACCTTCACACTATGTTTGCTTCAAAGATTTTAGAAGGAAAAGAAAAGAATATGTTTTTCTCACATTTTCCTCACTAAAATGGAAGGAATCTGATTTTCCCTTCTTTTAATACATTCTGCTTTTTGATTTTTGTTATTTCCACTTTTCCTTTCTAACCAAACAAGAAAATCAATTTTCTTCTTCATTTTCTTTTCTTTTCCCTTTCAAATTCTTTTATTAAATTAATAGATTATCAAATTTCACAACAAATTCATCACAATTAGCAAAAATTTCAAATTAAGATATTCAATTTTTTACATAACAAATAACAAATTGTCATATTCACAACAGAAATTCAGAACAAATTCATAACAAAATTTATAAAGATTAAAGATTTTCAGATTTTCACATAACAAATTGTAAAATTATTAAAGAAATTCTGAAATTGGTATTTTTTTACCTCCGTACCTGGACTCCTGGACCTGGAGGCTGGAGAGTTTCCGGCGAGGCGGCGTCTGGCGGGAAGCCGCTGGACTCTAGAGCAGTGGAGCGTGCAGGCGGGCGGCGGCGTCTGGCGCTCGGCTTAGGCGTTCTTCTGCGGAACGGAAATAGGAGGGCTTAAATTAATTGACCCGGCCCGGTCGGACTGCTTAATGGGCCGGCCCTGCCTCTCATCATCCCTCCTCCTTATTTGCTCATCGCCGCTTGTCATAGGTCTCATCTTTTTCTCCTATGATTTTATTGTCTGGTGGAGATAGTTTGTGGCGATGGTGTGGTCGCAGGGACGGAGGTAGCCATGTATGTTCAGTCACAGATTAGGAGAAAATGAGGAAGAATAGAGAGGGGTAATAGCATGGATGCGTGGTTTACAAAATGAGCCTCAAAACCCTTTTTACTTTCAAAAATTATTTGTAAAATGTTTTTAAATAATGCCCTTGATTTTTTTCTGTCTTCAAATTTCACTTTTTTACCATTTTTTGTTATACAAATAAATAAAATACAATAACGTCCTCTTTTGCAAATTAAAATTTTTCATTTATTTAATTTTCAAAAAAGAATAATTTTAAAAAAAAATGTTACAAAAAAATGAAAAATTAAAAAATCAAATAAAATATATTTTTTCATTATAAGTAAAAGTAAAATAAATAAAATAAAAAATTAGATAACATATACTCACTCTATCTCTAATTAAAAATTCTAACTTATTTGCTTTTTAAGAGTAACATAATTTTTTAAAGACTTTAAAAAATGAAGAACAGAAAAATATATTTTTATTTCTTTTCATTACCTTTTTCAATTATTATTTTTACTTTATACATAATATTTTAGTTTTCATTTTCTTTTGTACCATTCTCCAGAAAAATCTTTTGTTTTCAAAAGTAAATTATGTGATTTTTGTTGTTTGGTTGATAAGAAAATGAAGAGAAAATGATGAGAAATGGAAAAAGACATTTTTTCCTTTATTTGGTTTGAGAGAAAACATCTTGATAATGGGAAATGACTATTTTATCCTTATGTGTTAATATACTCCGTAATAGTGTACCAGCATAGGGAAGAAAACTTTTTTCCCTTCCATCCTTATCTCTTTTCTCTTGTTACCATATTTCCTCTTCAATCCAAACATGAGAAAGTATGAATAAAAAAATATTTTTTGGATTTAAAATGTGTGAATATCGTATTAGTAGTAATCTTGTAAAATAGTTTTCTATCTTCTAATATGAAAAAGTATAGATAAAAAATATTTTTTGGACTTAAAAATCTATTTCTAGACTACTCATAACACTATGCATAAAATATTTGGTGTCTCTTAAACTTAGGATCATCGGGGCCAATGCCCGGCCCGTCCTCCCTCAGGTTCGGCCCTGTCGGTGGTATTAACAACATCAAATCTTGTAATGATAATTGAAATTTCTCTTGAGCACATAGGAATTTTTTTGAATGTATAAATTGTGTCATTAGTTGAATTGTTTTATTATTTTATTCTTGATAAATAATACTAAGTAATGGCAATAAAGTAATAAAAACGCAAATAAATAATTTTTAATTTATACCGCTTACACAATAGATCAATTGGGAAACACAATAGTTCCACTGATGATTACATAAGCATTAGTTCTGCCGTTATAATCCCACACCGCTTATGTAATAGATCAATTGGAAAACAAAGAAGCTACATAAAGCATGGCCAGCCGTGTTGAGAAACCATCTTTGCGCTTGGGGCAATGACGCAGCTAGTGAGGTATTAACCGAGGCGCGTCTATTGCTGGTTGAAAATTATTTCCAAACCCCCTCTTCGGCATAGGTTTTGCTTAAGTCTTAGAGAATTTTTGGAAGGGTTCTTTTAATTAGGAACCCTACAATTTAGAGACTTAAATTTATTTATTATTTAAATAATTTTTTTAATCCACAAATAAGTTCACTCTCTAATAACGAATAATTGTGCCTAAGGGATCTCTTCGTCCAGTCCTATTACTATAAATGCCAAGATATCTTCATTGTCAAAATTTTAACTTAAAACCCCATTTCTTTTTAAAATTCTTGTCATTTTAGATTTTATAGCATTTTAAATATTTGTTTTTATTATATCCTCCCTCATATTTTTAACTATCTCCCAAATTTCAATGACACAAATTTATCTTTTTTTAGCTTATGTGAAAAAGAAAAGAGATTTTTCCTCTACTTTTCAATATTGATTTAATATGTGTGCATATATCGGGAATTAGGGGATGACAAGTTTCTGATTCAAATAAGAACCAGAGATTTTGGGACCAGGCCTTAATCATTTGGCAACTGGAATTGGTCGGAATCGCCTGGATGGCTGGAAAGAGTTCTGGTTAAAATTCTCAGTTTTGGGGTTGGAACCAATTTATTTTTTGATTTTTTTTTTGTTTTTTTAGACCTTATTCTGAAATTGTTTAGGTTGAATCACAATAACTACAAGAAAAAATCAATATGGAGAAATGTATATAATATTTTTCAAGAAAAAAAGGACCCTTATCCAAACCTGCCATGAACTAAAATTGTCGGAATATATAATGATCTTTCGTTTCCTATATGATCTCTCTTAAAAAATACTCTCCGTCCCTAAATAAACTTTCCCTTTCGTTTTTTCATTGTCCCAAAAAAAACTTCTCTTTTCTCTAAAAACCTCTTTTACCCCTTATTTTTTCATATCCTACCTATCACATCATACCTTTTTACTAATAATCTACATATCACCGCAAATTATATTATACATCCGGCTGTACCTAGAGATAGGTACAGCCGGCGTTTTAATAGGGCAAAAAGAAGCGCAAAAAATCCGCGATGAAGGAGGCTGCCGATCGGAAGTTTGCCGATCGGAAGTTTGCGCGATGATGATCGATGATGATGGTCGATGATGATGATCGAAGACCGGTGATGATGATGTGGTTTTGTGGATGAATCTGCAGAATTGAAGCTGCGATGATGCGGTGATGAAGAAGAAGAAGGGAAGACTGGTGATGATAGATAATGGGGTTTTGCAGGTGATGACGATGGGCAGTTGATGATTCTGTAGGATTTGCAGTTAGGGTGAGTACTAGTAGGTTTTAGAATGAATACTACTAGGTTTTAGAATGTGTATTGGGTTACTTGTAAATGAATATTATACGAATGTGTGAAAATGAGTACTACGTTTTTTCAGAAAGAGTAATATGGTTTTTCAAAATGAATGCTTATGTTGATACAAGAATGAGTACTACTTTACTTTAGAATGAGTACTACCCGGATGTACCTATCTCTAGATACATCCGGATGTACCATATACACTCTCACATATCACATCTTACTTTTACACATCACATCAAGGGTATTTTTGGAAAGTCAACACAAAAATATCCCTCTTTTAAATCCTCAAAAAGTCAAAAATGGAAGTTTATTTGGGGACAGATGGAGTATATACACTTTAGTGGGGAGAACTCTATAAATAAAAACAAAAGATAACGGAAATACGAAAATAGGAGTAACCGCGAAGTCAATGGAGAGCTGCTCGAGCCCCGTTGTTGGGTCACCGGAACTCCGTCTTCGGTCACCGGTGTTGATCATTGTTGGCCAGTAGTCCATCACCATATTCCACCATCACACAGCTATATTGGTATCACACTGCCCAAATCCTATTAAGATGATAAAAACAATGTCACTCATATCTAAAGATATTTCTTTTTTTATGTTCTTTTATCTAGAAATTCCCTATTAGGACTTGTTCTTTTGAATTAAAAACAAAGGGAGGAATTGGATACTAAATATTCGGAAAGCTATAAAGAGTAGGAAGAAACAAAAGGAGTTTGAAAAGAATGGAAAAAATTTGAAGAAAATACAGTTTGAAAATCTCAAGGAGTTGCAATAAACTAGATGCAATTACAAGAAACTAGGTCTTGGAAAACAGAATTCATAATTTTACAAACTTAACCGTGGAATAAAATGAAAGTTGAAATTCATTTGTATTAAAAATTCTATTTTTTTTATTACTCCGTATTAAAATATGTTATATTCCATTTTCAATTTTTTGTATGTCTCGCAATTTTAACTCATATCATATATTCATATTTAGTAAATTCACTCAAACTTTTAGTTTTTTTCTACTTTATCAACCACACATTTTTTTGCTTCTTAGTTTTGTGTAACCAGCCCATCCATCTTCCAAAAATAGTGGTACAAAAACTTTCATTATTGAGAGAAACACTAGTATCACACCCGTGCGCTGCACGGGTCATTTTTATGTTATTAAATTCAAGTTATTTTTTAATAAAAAAAAGATGCAATAGAATACAACGATTATATTATTTTAAGGTATAAAACATTACTGTTTTACAAATTTCAAAAGACTTCTTTATAGACTACATTATTTGTACAATTTGTGGTAATATTGTATTCATTGCATATCATAATCTTCAACCCACTACAATTAGTTACTCTTGAAACTGCAACATAGAGTTGTCCATGACTAAAACATGTTGGATTATTGTTACAGAAACTTGTGATAAACCCTAACTGCTCGTAACTTCATCATTAACAGCTCGTAGCTTCATCATGAATGTAATGGCTATGAAAGCTTTGTAAATGGATGTATTTATAATATGATTTTTGCATATGGGGTTAAAAAAATTATTCATTTTTCAAAGTGCTATAACAAATTTAAATTACTATTACTATATTTAAATTATTTAATTTATTAAATTTAAAATTACTATAATTAAAAGTACTATAATTAAAATGACACGGTAACTAATAAGGAGTATACAATTATCTAGTCACACGGTTATATAATAAATACCTTGGTTAATTATTACCTTTTTTTATTAACATTACTATAATTAAAATATACTCATAGTAAAATATAGCCATTATAAAATATAGTCACTATAATTATAATACAGCCATTATAAAATTACTATTATAAAATTAGTATAATTAATTTGACACGGTAATTTATATACAATTATGTAGTCACCCGGCTAAATAATTAATACCGTGATTAATTATTACTTTTTTTAATTATTACCTTTGTTGCTAGTATAATTTCGGACACTTTAAAAATGACAGTTAATTATTAACTTTCTTGGTTATTACTTTTCTCGCTATTAAACGTAATTATATACTATATTTAAAGGATATTTAATTACTACAGTAGTTATAGTTCATTTTATATTACTATAATTTCGGACACTTTAAATTCTTACCATCTTTAAATACTTAATAATTACTATTACTATATTTAAATTAATATATTTAAAATTACTATAATTAAAATCACTATAATTAAATGAAACGGTAATTAATACGGAGTATACAATTATGTAGTCACACGGTTATATAATTAATACCTTGGTTAATTATTACTTTTTGTTATTAAAATTTCTATAATTAAAATATTGTAAAATATAGACATTATAAAATATATCCACTATAATTAAAATATAGCCATTATATAATTACAATTATAAAATTACTATAATTAAAATTACTATAATTAATTTGACACAGTAATTAATATACAATTATGTAGTCACACGTAATATTAGATTTCATTAATAGCATAACATTCAATTTTAATTAAATTACTATAATTAAAATTACTATAATTAATTTGACATAGTAATTAACATTTAAGTACTATAATTAATTTGACACGGTAATCACACGTATTACTATAATTAATTCGACACGGTAAATAACATTTAGTTACTATAATTAAGTTGACACGTAGGATTCCAATTTTAATAAAAACTTACACTTTCCAATCTTATAACTTACCTTTCTTTCTAGTATAATTTCGGAAACTTTAAAAATGACAGTTAATTATTATAAAAAAATAATTATATTAACCATAATTTCGTACACTTACCATTTTAACTTCACAATTGCCATATGTAATGGACATACTTCGTGCACGGGTTAAAAATACTAATATCACACCCGCGTGTTGCACGGGTCATATTTACGTTACTAAATAAAAAAAAAATTTCAACGACCATATTTAAAAGTGCACTTGAAAGAAACTAATTAGGAAAGTCCTTGCAAATGATCGCATTTATACTATGAAAAGTTTTTGGCTTATTCTATTTTCCTTTTTCAAAATTTTTATTTTTAAAATTACAATGTAATTTTTTTGGCCAAATTACACGGTTGGTGTTACTTACCATTTCAACATTCCTTTTTTAACTTAAATTTTTAATTATCAACGTGTATTTATGATTCTTTCTTACCAAACCGTATATAAGAAAAACACTTTATTTAAAATACCTAAAAAGTATAAATGAAAATACAACTGTAATTTTAATTTGATACTTTAAGATGTGAGAATATTTTTTTGTTCAAGGCAACATTTTTTTAAAGATAGTAATTTTTTATACATGGTACCCGCAAAAAAGAAACATACCTTTTTTAATAATATTATTACATTGATTATAATGAAGTTACCTTATTTAAAATACGTATAAAGTAAAAAAAAGGAAAGATAATTATTTGTTGAAGTTACCTTAAATTTTTAATTATCAATGTGTATTTATGATTCATTCTTACCAAAGTCGTGCATAAAGAAATCACTTTATTTAAAATAACGAAAAAGTATAAATGCAAACACAACTGTAATTTTAATTTCGATACTTTAAGGTATGATAATATATTTTTTTCAAGGCAATGCTTTCATGTTTTTTTCCAAATACGGTAATATTTTAAACATGGTAATCACGTAAAAGAAACCTACCTTTATTATTATTATTATTATTATTATTATTATTATTATTATTATTATTATTATTATTATTATTATTATTATTATTATTATTATTACGTTGCTTATAATGAAATTGCCTTATTTAAAATACGTACAAATTAAAAACAAAAACACCGATATTTTTTGATCGATTTTTTTTCACACTATCATTTCCATTTCCAAACCTTTAAATTTCATTTATAATATATAATGTTGGACCAAATAATATTTGGTGTGAGAATACTTTTATTTACACGGTATCATAAAAAGTATAAAAAGTAATATTTATACTTTTTGTAAAAAGGCATTTAAAAGTTATACTTTTTATCCTCCGTGTTAATTATACTTTTTATAACACGGTACCATAATTAATATACTTTTTATAACACGGCATTAAAAATTTTAAGGTATGGAATTACCCTATTAATGAAAATATATTACATGGGTAATTTAATTACCATAATTACCTTTTACTCGAAATTTGAATTTATTATACACGGTACATTATAATTCATAAATATTTATTACTTTATACATGCCACTGTTGCATGTAACACTTACCTATTTATGTAAAGCGCTTCCCTTTTGTGATTGAAGACCATTTTGGTGAAAAAATGCAAAGGGGAATTCCCTTCTTTTGCAAATATATCATACTCCTTTCGTCCTAAAACTTTCTTTCTACTTCCCCTTTTTCTCCGTCCTAAAACTACCTTCCCATTAGAAAAAAGATGACAAATGACATTAATACCCTCATGTATTTACACCAATTATCTTCTAACTCTATATTTTGAATGATTGCAAAAAAAATTGCAAAAAATCTTTTTTAAGGAGGGTAAAATTTGAAGTCAACAACAACCCAGGTGACACAACAGTAGGGTCTGGGGAGGGTGTGTATACGCAAACCTTGCCATTCTAAAACTATTTTTCTTGGTGCTATTTGCACGGTCAAACTTAATTTATTTTTTTGATTATTTTAATTAGTTATTTGATAAAAAATATAATTATATTACCTATAATTTAGTAGCATCATATTTTTTTAGTTTTACCCTTATAATCAAATAAGTTTAGTTTAAAATAAAATCGATCAAATAAGTTTAATTTAAAATATTCTATTACCTATAATTTTGTAGCATTAGTTTTGTCGAATGTCAACCACACACCCATGATTATTTACTAATATTTGTATTAAAGAGCGTAGATAATATAATATAATGTCGATAAGGGGATATGTTATTCTCAACACGACATTTGTCACTATTTATACAAAAAAACTGAAAAGGAAACAATAGTTTTTTAAATAAAGTCATCGCATTTAACTGTGTAGTTAGGTTCACGGAAATTTCGTTTACAAAATTAGAGGACATATTACTTTGTAGGTATAACTAATCAATTCCTTTTAGTTTACAATATTTTGAAAATTTATAATATAATAATAATAATATTATTATTATTATTATTTTTATTATTATAAAATTGTTTGCTTAGGTTAGCAATTATTATTGTTAATTTTTTTTATAGAAACCAAGAATGGCACTGCAACACTTACCATTGATTAAATTAAAATAGAAACATATTAATTAGTAATTAATAGAATTAAACCAAAAATGTCAAGTAATACTTACCATGTAAGGAGTCACACGAAACATAGCATTCAATAGTATCCATATATGCTTCACATGTATTGAGGCAAGATATTTAAAGTACTAAACAGTTTCCATATATAAGCATCACGTATGGGCGGGAAAAAATTCCTCTCGCTTTAAGTATAGTATAGATTAATAAAAAAGAACATCTAAGTGATCAAACAAAAATAATCTCACATCACACTTTATGGTGTGAAAGTACTAAAACCCTTTTTCTATTCACTGCGCATTAGTTTTATTTCTCCCCTTTTTTATTACTTCGGGGTATTATCTTTTTCATTGTATGTGTATCCATTAGATGTCCCTAATTAATCTTTTTATTTTTTAAAGAAAGAGTTATGTGGTTCACATTCACTCTCCCCTGCACGAATTTTATCCACACAACTTTTTCTTTCTTAAAATTCTCGAAAAAGGGAATCAGGACATTTCCCCTTTTCTTCAATCTCGACTTTTAATATGTGTGCCATTCTTACATTGACAATAAGGGGACACAAAAATCAGAACTAGAACCTTATATTTTGAAATCAGGCATGAATCATTCCGCAACGGAAATTGGTGAAACTGGAAAGAGTTTTAATTAAGATTCTAAGTTTTGGGGTTGGAAGCAATTAATTTTTTTAATTTTTTTAAAGCTTATTCTCAATTTGTTTGCGTTGAATCACAATAACTAAACAAAAAAGTACTAGCATTTCGTTTGCTTATTTAATGGCTTTACCAACCCCTCTGTGCTTATCAAATGAAAGATGTTTCTTTTTCCTAAATTTAAATAAAAAACTAATAATTTCAAATTTACATATTGTTCATGATGTTTTATTAGTTGTAATATATAATGAGTACATGAACTTGAAATACTTGTCAATATTTTTCGTAATAATATTTTCATAATTTATAGGGAGTATTTCAAATGTTCTTATCATCAAAAAGGAGGGGAGGGCTGTGGCGAGAGAGGAAGTCGAGGTGGGACTGTGGGAGTGAAGATAATTTAAGTATAATCTTAGTATTGGAAAAGGTTGAATACAAAACACACTTTATGCAAATTAAATCTTTTAATTGAGACTTGAAAGATATCCCAAAAATCTACTCCCTTCGTCCCAATTTTTAAGTTGTTTGTTTACCATTCACATGGTCAAACTTACGTGTTTGGACTTTGGACTCAACTCGGCAAAAAAAGACATCGATTGGAAATTCTAACAACAGAAGTTGCACAAACAGATTGTGGGTAAACTTTATTTTCTTCAACAATGTGCACATATATAATACTCCGTACAACATAAATAAACAAAGCAGTGTACATTCATTGATCAGGTGCTAAAAGGGAGAGAAATGGAGCTTTTTACATATATAAAGTACAGAAAGAATCTTACAGGTTGGGTGTTCACACACCAGGCGTAGAAGATAGCCTTTCAAAAGCATCCATTCTTCTGAAGCCATCTGTGTAATGATTCCTTGGTTATCTTCAACCTTGGCAAAACTGCAGGCCTCCTTGTAGAAGAGTCCCAATGTAATTTCTCCGTGTTTGAAGCCTCATTTGCAGAACTCTTCTTGCTGTGATTTCTGCCAGTTTCGGTTCCGGATCCTGTCAAAGCAATCTCAAGACCCAAATCATGCTGCAAGAGTTTGATTATTGTTTCCTTGACTCCACTTTCATGCAGATCATCTCCCAGTACGATCTGCAGATCATCTGTAATTACGTCTCCTGCAGATAAACCTATTTGAAATTACTGTTTATGCTTTTAATGTTGTAATCAACATGATATCTGATCCCATTCCATTCATATAAATATAGACTAAGCCCTCACTGAAATTTGAGGTCTTAAAAAATTGAAGAAATAATTGAATAAGTGGTTAGGTAGAATTTAAATCCTTCGTTTTTATAAAAACCTATTTAGATACTCCCTTCGTCCCACTGGTTTGAATTAGACGGAGTTAAAGAAAAATGTTGGAAAGTGCAAGTGTGTGGTTTCAGTGAGTGAAATTTTGTGAGTCATGTGTTCACATCTTTAAAGGGGAATATACCTATATAGTATAAACATAGTTAGTTTCCCAATGTAGTGTCATATGTTTTAATATTCTAATGTAGTATCAATGTTCAATGTCCACTAGACATTGTTCAAGTAAATGTCCACCTTCACTGGATATTGTTCCCGCCATTTCGAGTACTATTTAGGGAATAAAAAGGTTTTAAGTACTACATTGGGAAAAAACATGTTTTAGTACTATTTAGTGCAAATTTCACTTCTTTAAATGGGAATTATGTATGTACGAAGTTTTTCTCGGACATCCAAAAGGGAAAGGAAGAAGATTTTGTGGGACGTAGGGGTATAAAAAGCCATTAAAAAAACTAAGCCATCGGAAGTCTTTTGCTCCAAAATCCTCCATCCAATTCACCTGGGATTTAATATTTAGCTAAGGTTTAAACCTATATACTCCCTCTGTCCCCAAATTTAAGTTCCTATTCGCATTTTCACTGAGTTTAAGAACTAAAAAAAATGGAGTTCAAGAACTGTAAAAATTGTATGATTGAGATTGTGCAAAGGAGAAATAAATGAAATGAACCAGACAATTATTCATCAAAAACAAAATGCATTTTTCATTTTGGGATGTCCCAGAGAGTGAAATGAGAATTTCATTTGGAGAGAGGGGAGTAGGTCGCATCACAAGAGTGTGAATTAAGAAAGCAGAAAACATTGTTTTCTGACCTGGACTGAATGCCTCTTTGATCATTCTCAGCACCGCTAGAACCACTAAGCGAGCTTCAATCTGCAAATGCACAGTATGTTTAATATCGTATCAAGCAGCTACTCTGGATGCAAAAGACAATCTGGGATCTGTCTGATGGGGGAAATCAGTTGAATCACATAGAGCAGTGAAAATAGAAACTAAATGATTTTAACACACCATAGCCAGGAATAATTCTTTTAACAAAACTAACAGTTCTTATCCACACCTTAGAGAGTTCCCGAAGATCAACGGATAGAGCATTACTCTTCTGCAAGTTTTCAGCAACTTTCTCAAGAAGAAGACTTTCAGGACCTTGACTGATCCTATTCTTGTAAGCACGTTGGCCCTCCTTACGATGGGAATTCTGTATTACACCTTCGCACCATTCCTCAATCAGGTGCTTGAGATAGCGATCATCGGGTTTGTACCTGTAAGATTGACATCATAATAGCTGAAAGTGAAGAAAAACATGCAGCCATTGTTCTTTTTCAAATAGACTGTGTTGCCCTCCAAACACAGAACCTACAGGACCAAAATATATAGTCCTTGAGTATGAGATTCCCCATAGTTCTGACGTTACATGGACTTTTATCAAAGGTAGAATTTTTTATCACTCAGAATACAAACTTTTTTAACGGCCCATAATTGTAATGCTGCTTCTACTAAACTGAATCTTGTCATTTACTTTTGGTACACCGCAGCCAAGTTAAATGATCTTATTTTGCCTGAACCCTTTTTTTATTGAAAATATAATCACACAGCCAAAATAGGTAATAAACTTCAAAAGCTTTTAAGTACTTACCCAAATGAGCTGTCAACACATACTTGATCATCTCAGGCGAGTGCGTACTTGTGTCAAGAGTGCCTACTTTTTTTAGTAGTTTTTTTGAGTTCTTCTAACATAAATGACTTCTCCCCATAAACTTGATATTTTCTTTAAAACTTTTTTGCACCATTCACCCGCGACTTTTCATAAAGTGCATGCCCCCCCAAACTTTCAAAAGTGCACTAGTAGTCCCTATACTTTTCCTGAAGTACATGCCTTACCACCCCACCTCACCCCCCCCAAACTCTTTATAGAGTGCATGTTTTCTCACCGAACTTTCAAAAGTGCAACATTAGTTCCTATACTTTTCATAAAGTGCGTGCTTTCTCCCAAAATTTCAAAAGTGCAACACTAGTCCTATATTTTTAAAGATTGAGCATGGTTGAAACCCTAACACTGTTTGGTTCTTGGAATTCAAAAAGGAAAAGAAAGAGGTTTTCTCTTTTTCCTCGCCAAAATGAAAGGAAACTCATTTTCCTTCTTCTTAGTGCATTTTCTTCTCTTATTTTCTTTTCTTTTCACTTTTCTTTTCTTTTCCTCTCTAACCAAATAAGAAAAAATGTTCTCTCTCATTTTCTTTTCTTTTCCCTTTCATATTCCTCGAACCAAACATAGTTTAAAAATTTCTCTTGGTTGAACATCGTCTTTAACAAACTTTAATTAAAAAAATAACTTAGTTTGCTGCTAACTACATGCATGTCGAAGTCTTCTCACGCCTCAGTTGACAGCTGTTGGAATTTGATGAAAACGCCATTGATGAGTTTTTCTTCAAGTTTGATTAAAGATGCTCTACTCAACAAAGATAAATACCTGAAACCCTAATATATAAAATTTCTTGAATAAAACCCCTAAAGGCCCTTATGTGTACTGTTTCTTGAAAAAAAAAAGAAAAAACTTCATCAATGGCTTCTTTATCAAACTCTAAGAGTTGTGTCAACGGAAGCGTGAGAAGAAGATTTTTGACATGCAGATTTATGTCCTCCAAGTTATTTTTCTACTTTTTACATCGTATTTATGTTTGGCTAAAGACATTGGTCAACTAAGAAAAATTATTAGGGTATCAACCATGCTTCCTTTTTAAAAATATAGGACTAATGGTGCACTTTGGAAAGTTCGGGGGAAAGCGCGCACTTTATGAAAAGTATAGGGACTAATGGTGCACTTTTGAAAGTACGGGGTGAAACATGCACTTTATGAAAAGTTTGGAGGTGAATGACGCAAAAATAACTCTCGTTTTTTAAGTTGAAGACGAGCCCATCCATTCACATGGACTTGGCAAAGAAATCATTATAAAGTTGTCTTCAATTCTTCTTGAAAAGCTCACTCAAACTAATGATCTTCTAGCAAGACTTATGTTGCACCCATATTGACCTATCCAAATTTCCCGTCTCTAGTCGCTAGTGTCACATTACATTTCTCATTCACCTCTGTATGATGTGATTCAATGCTTAAATTGTGAACATCAAAAATCAATCAAAAGGTTGAAAGAAATGAAAAAAGCATAACCACGACAACAGCAAGTTGTGGCAAATGTGTGGTGATGAGATGACATGGGGCGTTGGATGGAGATAAAAAGGCACTAGCCTGAGAAAAGCTCCATCGAGCTCACTATGGGAGAGTGTTGTACAAAAATCCAAGACAATAATCACATGATAGTAGATATCATAATTTTTGTAACACTACTCATATGATTCCAATAATGTCTCAATAGATCTTCAAATTATTTAGTGCAAGTTTTCCCCCCCAATGATAATCTCCTTTTTCTTTTTCAGTTCACAAACCTCCATCTATGATCCCTAAGTCCTAATCC